ACATCGTTGGGATTTGCCAGAAAGTGACGATTTGTAATAAATGGCTTTGCTTTCAAGTAAAGCCCATCTGTATGGTGTGGAGATGCCGCCGACTTGCAGCTTAGCTGTGGGCCTGCAGGAGCCTTTTCTGGGGCATGTGGGGTGTTTTGGTGGAGTGTTTGTATTGTACTTCCTTCAGTGTCCCCGGTTTCTTAAAATAGACACACCAGGTGCCTTTGTTACTATAAGTATCACCTTAAACACAGTGTTGGTTAACACTGTGTAATGTGGTCTATCTTTGGAAGTCTCTCACATACCTCATTTATCAAGGTTATACTTTGAAGAACAATTTTATGACAAACCGCTGTAAGGCCCGAAGCATGGAAGACATGCAGGCCGCAGAGATGCTTACTGAGGCACAATCCCACACTGTAGAGCTGGATGAAGTTCAGTGGGTATTAGCCAGGGCTCCCTGAAGAACAGCACTGATAGAATGGGCTCTATTAGATTGGCTAACAGGATGTCCTCTGGGTAGCCAACAATGGCTGTCCACACCAGACTGGCTCAAAATCCAGTAGTTGGTCAGTCTACAAGGCTGGATGTCTCAGCTGTCCCAGGCTAGTGCTGAAGGTGTAAAGGGTTCCTGGTCTTCTTTCTATGTTAGAAGTATAAAGAAACTGGCTATAATACAAGTGAGGGAATGCCACAGCAACAGGGGAGGTGGACTTGCCAGGGAGAGTGAGGATAAAGAGGCAGCAGGCATAGCTCCCCTCATCCATATTTTTATCAAGCTGCATCAGAAGGTGTGGCCCAGGCCAAGCGTGGATCTTCCTGTTTCAAATCTGATCACGAAAATCCCTCACAGGAGTCACACAGCTGCTTGGGGTTTAGGTGATTCCAGATGCAGTCAAGTTGACAACCAAGACTTGCCCTCACAAGTCTACCCCTTGTCAATTTGACACAAGATAGAGTTGTGTGGAGAGAGACAGCTTTAGTTGAAAACAATGCCTCCACCAGACTGGCCTGGAGGCAAGTCTGGGAGGCAAGTGCTTTGACTGACTGATTTAGAAGGCTAGCCCACTGTGGGTAGGTGGGTGGGTGGGTAGGTGGTCCTAAATCATATAAAAGAGCAGGCTGAGCAAGTCAGTAAGCAGCATTCCTCCATGATCTCTGCTTCAGTTCCTGCCCTGACCTCCCTCAGTGATGGAGACCTAAGAACTGTTGGTTTTGTTTAGTGTTTTTTTTTTTTTTTATCAAACCAACAGAAAGCAAACTAGGACACAGTAGATCACTGAGCAAGATGACTCAGTGGGTAAAGGTGTTTGTCATTCAAACCCGAGTTTGAACCCTAGCACCCACATGGTAGAGAGTCCAGACTCCACTGAACTGTCCTCAGACCTCCACATGCACGCTGTGACACAGATTCACCCATATACATCATACATGTATATACCACACCCACCCACCCACCCACACACAAAGACATGTTCCGTGTGTGTGTGTGTGTGTGTGTGTGTGTGTGTGTGTGTTGAATGCATGTGAGTGTGCAAGTACACACACTCATGGAGGCCAGAGCAGGAAGCACGGTGTATGTTTCCTAAAGCCATGCCTGTACCTTCCCCGGGGTGCTCTGGACTTGAATCAGACCATCAGATTTACAGAGCAATCACCCATTCCCACTGAGTCATCTTCCCAGGCCCCAACATGTTCTTTCAGTACTTTTTCTAAGGCAGACTGTAGTGGGTAGCTGTTCCAGTTTTGACCTGGAAGTACTACCCCTAGTGAGGCTTCTGGTAACTGCCATGCCTACCTTGACCTGCCCCTGGGGCGGGGCCAAGACAGGAGCCTTTAAGACCTGAGATCCAGACATGCTGGCCCTCTTGGTTCCTCATGATCCTGGATGCTGGATGGCAGACCAAGCAGAGTTCGTTCTCCAGAGAACCCCACTGGACTGCACCTCACCTCTTCCAGATCCTGTAACCAACCTTTTACTGGCTGTAAGTTACCCCAAAATAAACCTCTATGTGGAGTTGCCTTGTTAATCCCCACAATAGCAGACAGTTCACATTTTTGTAATGATTTCCAACTAGAGCGGCTATTAAATTAGTGACGGCCAGGGTCCTAAAGAAATTAGTCTGCAAATAAAAGAACAAAGGCTTGCAAAGGTAACTGACGCATTTTAATATGAAAGCTCCCTCTTGCTGTTCCTCTGTCAGAACTGCTGGAACACGGCACTGTGGGCGCCATGGCTTATTAAACAGCCCGTCAAGGTTTCGGTGTAGTCTTCCAGGCTTCTCTCCTTAGCCTGTAGCTTCCTCCTGTCTTCACACAGACTTCATTCTATGTACCTGCACTCAGATTTCCTCCCCGACTCTGTGCTAGGGAGTCTGTGTGGCCACGATGGCTTCAACCTTGCAATTCCGAGTCACTGGATTACAGGCATGGGCCATCTCATCCCCATTCAAGTTTCCCTTCCTTGAAAGGAAAGCGGACATGCTGGATTAAGATCCGCCTTCATGACGTGCATCACCTTCATGACGTGCGTCACCATGCCAGGCTCTAATGCCATTATTTATGGAAAGGTCATATTAAGACTATCTTTTCCGGGCGGTGGTGGCACACGCCTTTAATCCCAGCACTTGGGAGGCAGAGGCAGGTGGATCTCTGTGAGTTCGAGGCCAGCCTGGTCTACAGAGCGAGCTCCAGGACAGGCACCAAAACTACATGGAGAAAGAAACCCTGTCTTGCGGGGGTAGGGGTGGGGAAGAATTAAACTTTGGGGCTGGAGAGATGGCTCAGTGCTTAAGAACACTGGATGTTCTTCCAGAGAACCCGGGTTCAATTCCTAGTGCCCACATGGCAGCTCACAACTGTCTGTAACTCCAGTTCCAGGAGATCTGACACCCTCACACCAATGCACATAAAATAAAATTAAATAAATTATTTTTTTAAAAAAGACTATCTTTGGGGCCAGGCAGTGGTGGTGCACACTTTAATCCCAGCACTTGGGAGGCTGAGGCAGGAGGATCTCTCTGAGTTCAAGGCGAGTCTGATCTGCATACTAACTTGCAGGCAAGCTAGTGCTACATAGTGAGACCCTGTATCTATCAATCAATCAATCAATCAATCAATCAATCAAACAAACAAACAAAAACAACAAATCTCTTTGGAACCAGAAAGATGTAGTCCAGCACTTCCTGCTCCTCAGGAGGACTAGGTTCAGTTCCCAGCACCCATTTGGGAATCTTAAAATTCCTGTCATGCTAGCTTTAGAGGCTCTAACACCTTCTGGCTTCTTTGGGTACCTGCACACCCATGGCACGAACACGCAGCAGCACACCCATGGCACGCACACACTGCAGCACACCCATGGCATGCACACGCTGCACAACACCCATGGCCCGCACACGCTGCAGCACACAGACACATAAATGAAAACAATTACGAGTATTTTAAAAAGTATCTTTGGCCGGGCGGTGGTGGCGCACGCCTTTAATCTCAGCACTCGGGAGGCAGAGCCAGGTGGATCTCTGTGAGTTCGAGGCCAGCCTGGGCTACCAAGCGAGTCCCAGGAAAGGCGCAAAGCTACACAGAGAAACCCTGTCTCGAAAAACGGAAAAAAAAAAAAAAAGTATCTTTGTATGTACATGCTGGTGGAACAGTTTCAGTGTCTACTTTATTTCCACCCTCCTTGGAGACTTCTTTTTCTTTCTGCATCTAGAAATTCTGAGAATAAATTCACTAGTTATTAGTGTAATATAAAAATCACGTTTCTTGTCTAGGCTGTATTCCCCATATGGCCACCTGAGTCAGTCTGTTCTGGAAGTCTCTATTCTATTTTCCATCATTTTAGAATCCATTTGTGACCCAGAGGTAAGTATTTTTGTTTTAAGCTCCAGATTATTAAGGTGTTGATTATCAAGGTAGTTTACAAATATCAAATATCAATGGCTATTTTTCTGCCTACGTAGAAACACCAAATTTACATGACCATGTCCTTGAGGATTCCGAAGGCTGGAGAAGGGGTCCAGGGTAGCCTATCACTTAGCAGTGTGGCCATTTAAAAACCACAACGTCTGGGTAAATACAGACAGAAACACGGAAGAGTCTCAGTGTGGAATAAGTTACTCTTTGGTATAGACACAGTTACTCTCTGTGTGTATGTATATATGTGGGGGGAGAGAGAGAATATGTTGAGTGTGTGTGTAGATGTGGGGAGAGAGAATATGTTGAGAGTGTGTGTCTGTAGGTGGTGTGTATAGGTGGAGTGTGTATGTGTATATGTGGAGTATGTGTATGTGGAGTGTGTATGTGTATGTGGTGTGTGTGTGTGTGTGTGTGTGTGTGTGTGTGTGTGTGTGTGTGTGTGTGTTTGGGTGCATGTACTATGTACTACATGAGGCCAGGTGACATTCTCGGGACCACCATCTACCTCCTTTGACACAGAGCTCAGCAGTCAGGCCACACAGGCTGGCCAGTGAACCCAGGGATCCTTCCGTCTTTGCCTGCCCAGGGCTGGCATCACAGGTGTGCACGGCTGATGGCACGGCACTGCTGTGCCCAGCTTTGTACATGGGGCACAGGGCTCAAACGTGGGTTTTCAGGCTTGCAAAGCACGCACTTTGTCAACAGAGCTCTCTCCTCGGCCCTGCAGTAGAGCATTAGCCTGTAACCATCGGACGATGGGACGGTCCGTCTGCTTTGCTGGGGATCGATGCTAGAGCCTTCTACGTGCCAGGCAAGTGCTGTCACTGAGCTGTGACACCAGCTCCAGGATGACTCGATGTAAGAAGGAAATTATAATGTATTACTGTTATTCATTTTTTGTATTATCTCAGTTCCCCCAAGAGCTGTGCCTCGCCCATGCTAGGAAGGGTTGGAGTCCAGGCCCGTCATTATTTTCCTCTCTTAAAATTAATTTTTCAGGTTAGCGTTCAAAGTATGGGTTTTATCATGGCATCTTTATACATATATGTCCTTCTACTTTGTTCTCACTTTCTTACCCTCTCGGTTCTTAGACATTTTCTTTTCTTTTTTTTTTTTTTTTTTCAGAGAAAGGAAACGATTATTATTATTGGGGGTGGGGAAGGATGAGATTTGGGCGCGGGAATTATAGCCACCACCATCACCTCTAATCCAGGAGGCTCAGAAAAGCGAGCTTGGTCTCACCAGAAAAGGTTGGGAGAATCTATTGCATACTGGAGTCTGGAGGGTAAGGATGCATTGCAGGCTTCTTTTCTTTGAGAGAATCAAGCATGGGCCTTAGACAATTTCTTAACAAGTTAGTATTACAAGAGGATACCAGTATACACCCACCAAAGAACTGGGCATGGTGGCATAGTGATGAGGAAGCTGAGGCAGGAGGATCATTTGAGGCCAGCTTGGACAACATTAAGAAAACCTTGATTCAAAACAAAAACCCCTGACAAAATGTGGCAGAGTAGGTAGGTGCATACACAATGTACTCCAGGAAACCCTGGCAGCTTCCCATAAGACTAAACACATGCTGGGAGTGGGGGCGCACACCTTTAATCCCAGCATTCAGGAGGCAGAGGCAGGCGGATCTCTGTGAGTTCGAGGCCAGTCTATAGAGTGAATTCCAGGACAGCCAGGGCTACACAGTGAGACCCTGTCTGGAGTAGAACAATAACAAAAAGGCTAAGCATACACCTCCTCTAACCCATTAACTCCTCTTCTAAGTGTTTACCCGAGAGACATGAAAACACATCTAAGATGACTCATGAATGTTCACAGCAGCTTTACTCCTCTCAGTGAAAACTTGGACACAGCTCATATGTCCATCATGAGAATGAACCAGCTACGTAGTAATAAAGGAAAAACTATTCTGCAATGAAAAGAGCGTGTTATTAATATGCATAACATCAGTAAATCTCCAAAACACTGTGCCAAATGGAAAAAACCTTACATAGAAGAATACATGTATTTATAAAATGTTTAGAAAGACACAGTAACCAATCTATAGTGGAGAAAAGGAGAACAGAGAGAGACTAGGGGTGAGAACTGACTGGAAAGGAGCCTGGTGGTCTTGTATTCTAGTAGGGATTTGAGGTACACAGATACATGCATTTATCAATATTCCATGAATAGACATAAAATTTGTGCATTCTGTAATATAGATTTTAGTACAACCTGTAAATAAATACTGAATTCTAGTTAATGACATGCATGTTGAGGTATTTAGAAGGAAGTATACTGACATCAGCAAGTCACTTTAATGTGCATGAAAAGTAAGGTATACTGAGACAATCAACGGATGGAGAGCACAGTGTTAATGGCAGAATCTAAGCACTGGGTATATGGATTTCAATGGAAAAGTATGTAGTGAGTCTTTCTCTGTCCCACCAGCCAGCTCCCAAATAATGACACAGAGACTTATTAATTATGAAAGCTGGGCCTTTAGCTTAGGCTTGTCTCAACTAGCTCTTCTAACTTTAATTAACCCATATCTTTTAATCTATGTCCTTTTATGTGGCTCAGTTACCTTTACTCTGTACTGCCCATCCTGCTTCCTCTGCATCTAGCTGGCAACTCCACCTTTCTTCTTCCCAGAATTCTCTCTGCCCAGAAGTCCCTCCTATACCTCCTGCCTAGCTATTGGCCGTTCAACTTTCTATTACACCAATCACAGCAACACATCTTCACACAGTGTACAAATATCCCAGAACAAAAGTATCTTACATTTTGTGTAATTTGACATTTTCCACAATGGACTAATGATTAATGGAAACATCATTGACAGCAGTCCCTCAGTTACTGCATGAAGAGAAGTACAATCGCCTGCGGAACCCATGTTGTTTACTCAATGTGTTTCTAGCAGGAGGTAGCTTTTCCCAGAGTAAGGGATGTTGTTGGGGCTCCTCTGTTCATCACATTGTTTGGTTTATACCAATGAGAAGTCAGCTTGATGTCAACTCATTGTTTAAAATTCCTTTAGCCTTGGGAGGTCTTAAATGGGAGAAATTTGCCAAGCATGGTGGCATACCTTTAATGCTAGCACTCTAGAGCCAGAGACAGGAGGATCTCTGTGAGTTCGAGGCCCGTCTGATCTATATAATGAGTTCCAGGACAGCCAGAGCTATGTAGAGAACCTGTCTCACCTCCTCGCCTAAGTCAACAACAACAACAGCAACAAAAGACCCACAAAAGAACAGGGTAAACAGTCCCTTTTTTTTCAATGGCCGAAGTTCTTTCTCGGACCTCTGTTCCTAGAATACACTTGAGGGTCTACCATGACTTAAAAGTCAGGTATTTGAAAGAATGAAATTTCTATGTAAACTATACTGTTAAAATAAATTAGGAAAATAAAGCACAACTTTCCCTCCTCAGAGATTTATTTAAATTTTAGTGAATGCACATATGCTGTTCAAACCAGAGAGAAGGACTCTGCAGTCTGCTCCAGACTTTGCCTGGTGCCTGGGAAGAATTCAGAGAGCAGGAGGAAATCCGAAAGGCAATTATAAATACATCAGACATTAGTTGACTTGATGTTAACTCTCCAAATCACTCAGTTGTTACAAACTTACATTTAACCAGCCTCTCTAAACCCCATCCAGAGCGCACGCAGTGACAGGTTCCGGCTCACGGATTTCAGTGGCATGGCATGGAAGCGCTCTGGACGACAGCGCTCACACATCCAAGTTCCTTCTGGAAGTACTTCCTTCCCTGACTCCATACCTTCTCAGCAGCACATAAACTCGGAAGTGAACCAACCCCATAACTGTCCCCTGACCTCCACACACTCCCTGTCCCCACAAATAAATACATAATTTAAGGGAACACTCATTCTAAGTGAAAATGCACTGGAATCTCTTCAGTGAGTACTGTGCTGAGCACGGGCACAGGCACTGGGCAGCGCTTTCCAAAGCAGATGAACGTGCAGTGTGGGAGACACACAGAGGTGACGGAGGTTAGTGTAAAAGGAAAAGACGTGCCCCAAGAGGATGCAGGAGCCAGGAGGAGAATACTCGTCAGAGCAGACAGCACCCTGTAAGTAGGAGGGTGCCATGTACAGACACCCGGGGAAGAAACTACAGCATGGTGCTGTCTGCAGCCCTTGAGGGAACAGACCTGAGCACACAGGATCCAGCAGGAGGAAGATCACATGGGGACACTCTGGTAAAGAGGACGCAGGCTGTTCAGTTCAGTCTGCTTGGGGAGAAAGGTGACAGGGTTTCCTGCTAGGACACCTTCACTCTGTGATCTTGTACTTACCTTGACTACTGTTAGTTTAGTCTTGGTGACCTTGTAGCAGCTAATTAGAACTCACAGAAAACCTGGGATACTGTAGGTTTCCCTTGAATGTCAACCTGGTCAGTGTGAGCAAAAAATAGTTGCTGAGATTGTGCCGATAGGCACAGCAGGGAGACTTCTGCTGTGAACCCCAACCCCGGAGCAGCAGGAGCGAGGCACCGGGTAGGCATTAGTTAGATCTCTACAAGAGAATGAAAGAGCCAGTGCTGTGTGGGCATTACCGTCTGACTCCGGGTGGTGTGCCTAGGGGTTGCCAGACAAAGAAGAACAGCCCACAGAAGAAATCCAGCCCATTAACTCCACACAGTCCACTAAGAAAAAGAATATTGTCAGGTAGAGGATTTGCCTTCTTTATTTTTAGTTGAATGTACTATTTTAGACTTAAAATCCTTATGATTAAAGGAGATGGGCGTGATCAGGAATCAGCATTGCTCGCCATCACCCGGGCAGACACATGCTGAGGAGACAGCACCCACCGCCCGCCATGGTCCCGTGGGCTACGAACTGCTCAGTGGAATCTCTCAGAGTTAACTGATGGCAATGTCCCACCTTCCAGAATTTCTATTACCTTAGGAGGGCTCTGCCCAGCCTGCCGAAACACAGCTGTGGGTGCTGTGATGTGCAGACGCCCACACTGCCGATGTCAGGAAGGATGTACTTTTAAACCTCTAATTTATCTAATAATGTCTTTGGTGATCTGTGTAGGTTTGGCATTGTAATCAAAGTGCTTCCTGGCTTGGTTTATTCAGTTTGCAGCCTTAAAATGTATACTGTCCTGCTATGCATGATACAAGCAAATCGATTGAGAAGAGCTCCGCCCTTGATATCTGAAAATGAAGCAAATTGATTGTTTCTACGGTGTGTTAATCTATTTATACCGAGATAGCACTCAGTGCTCACAGAGCCATGAATGTAAAGCACACTGTCGAGAGCCCACAGGTGGAGACCGAATAATAAACTCTTGGAAATATTTCTAAGAGGGAGGAGGATGGGTTGTTTAAAATACAAAGCTCTTTGCTGGGCATGGTGGCTCACACCTTTAATCCCAGCACTCAGGAGGCAGAGGCAGGCAGATCTTTGTGAATTCAAGACCAGCCTGTTCTACATTGTGAGTTCCATGACAGCTAGGGCTACACAGAGGAAACCTGCCTCAAAAACAAAACAAAACAAAATAATAGAAGCTCCACAGTACTTGGTAACAGTATTGTTCCATATGAAGTTTATGGCATAGATGCTACACAAAGTCCAAAGAAGTCTGTCCTAACTAATGGAGACACTGTCAAGACCGATGGACTAATGGGAATGCATGTTCATTTATGTATGGAGTCAGACCTTGGCTGTCCTGGAACTCCATATGTAGACCAGCTTAGTCTGAAACTCAGAGATCCACCTGGCTCTGCTGCCTGGGTGCTGGAATCAAAGATGTGTGCTACTACGCCCAGCACATCCAGACTTAAGAATATACCTACTACATAGAGCAGAATATCCTTATATCCTTATAGAAATAATATTTGGAGTTGGTGTCTTGCTTTGGTACCCAGACTATCTTAACTAGTGTCTAGACTCCAGAGACCCTGCTGTCTGCTCTCCAGAGCTGTGAGTACAGTTATGTGCCACTGTGCACCACTTTATACTTTTCAGCTGCCTTTGAAATGAAAACCAATACTTACTCGGAATAGAATTACAGAGGTGGCATTTTAGGCCTGGAAGAGTTTGGAGTTACCCCATTTTCTTACTTTTCCAGCGGAGGAAACAACAGCCTGGGGCTTGGCATCTCCTGAGGCCCCGGCAGGAACGAGCCTTCCTAGCTTCTCCTATTTCTGCTATAACCTCCTGTCTCCAACAAGTCAGCTCCACAGCATTTCAGGGAGGAGCTGGGGGGACTGCAGTCTCTCCAGGTGTAACGAAGTACATCTGGGCGCCAGAGTCATTACGGACTCAGCTCATCTGTCCATTCCCTCTCTCTCAAATCCAGCACCAGGTCTTGTATGTGCTGTGCCATGCTGAACTCCCAGGCCTGTCTCGGCTTTGTTTATTTTCATAGCAACATAGAGAAATCAATTTTTACAATGTCAGTGATTTCTGAGTGTATGAAGTATCTATCACGTCTAGAGGTCTCAAGAAACGAACATGCTTGGTACTAAAATTTCACTTTCTTGCTACTCTGCTAATCCTGACTCCTTCCCTTCTCCTGTGTTTCGGAACCGAGGGCCTTGTGCAGAAGCATGCATTCTATCGCCAAGCTCAGCTCAGCCCTGCTTCTGATAATATCCGGTGGTTCCCAGGATGACTTAATATACGTCTTTCTAGAATACTGCCCCAGACACTAAAACAAATTCGTATAAACATTGAAAAGTGCTAAACTACTAAAGGTCATTAGGATGCAGTTGTACTTTGTAATTACATTTCTTCCCACCACATTGTATGTGATAGCACTGCCCTAAATCCTAGCACTCTGAAGGCAGAGACAGGCAGATCTCTTGCTTCTAGGCCAGCCTGGTCCCCGCAGGGAGTTCCAGGCCAGCAAGGGCCACATAGTGAGACACTGTTTGAAAAGAAAAAAGGAAGGAAGGAAGGAAGTCTCCAGACATGTCTGCAGGCAGGTGTTTTTTTCTTTTTTGAGGTGGTGGGGAACCAGACCTTATACAGTCTGAGCATATACTCTACCAGTGAGCAACACTCAGTCCTTCTTTTTGAAGCAGAATTGAAGGCAAGATTGACCTCTCCAAATAAATACTTGGAAACAAAAGACAGTGCTGCTAGCCAGTGTGAGCACCAAGAAAGGACAGCCAGGGCATTCAGGAACCATGGTTTTCGGGGGTTTTGCATGGGTTTGAGAAATGTTTACCTTAAAGCAAACCTGTGGTGTGTGTTTGTTTGTTTTTTACAGAGCTCAGTTTCTGATGTTAATGGGGCTGACCTTTTAGCTTTATAATGTATAGCACTGAAAAAATACGTATATATAAAATCTCAAGTATATATTCATTGATATAAGTAGCTTTAATGAAGTAGAATATTTTCCTTCTTGTAACTAAACATAAGTGGACCTCTAATGATTTTTTCAACATTGTTCAAAAAGTGTCTATGTGTATATAATATATGACTTAGAAACAAAATAGACAAGAGACTATTTCTATCTATGAATATATAAAATCTGTACTTTGGTGTTTGAGATAAAAAAGGAAGTAACAAACCCCTGTGTAGAAAACATTTCTTTTTGTACATAGGGTCTAAATTACTTAGAAGTAAGAATGGAAAGTATTTCAAAGAATCTGTCTTATGGCTACCTCTATCTGTCTATCTGTCTATCTATCTATCTATCTATCTATCTATCTATCTATCTATCTATCTATCTATCTACCTACCTACCTACCTACCTACCTACCTACCTACCTATCTACATCAAACAAGCACAGCTGCACTTTTTTATTGTTTGAGGACCCTAACAAGATTAATCTGACTTTAGAGGATCTAGGCCACCCAAAGGCCAGCAGCACTGCCAAAGTCAAGTCACACCAAGTGACAGCAGTACTTCCGAAACAGCAGCATTTGACTTCATTCGTTTATTTACTTATTTAATGTGTGTGAGTGTTTTGTCTGTGTACTGTGTGCATGCCTGGTACCTACAGAGGCCAGAAGAGGACACTGGAGCCCCTGGAATGGCGATTACAGATGGTTGCTAGGACTTGAACCCAGGTCATCTGAGGAGCAGCCAGTGCTCTTACTGCTGAGCCGTCTCTCCAGCCCACACCAGCACTCTAGGTCTCGGTCCACACTGCTGGTATTGGCTGTCTCCTGCTATTTGCTACGCTCTCTACCTCTGCCAAACTTCAACATCTTCTAAGCATTTTAAGAAAAATTATGGGGGTTGGGGATTTAGCTCAGTGGTAGAGTGCTTGCCTAGCAAGCACAAGACCCTGGGTTCGGTCCTCAGCTCTGGAAAAAGAAAAAAAAAAAAGAAAGAAAGAAAAATTATGAAGGAAAGCAGTTTCTGTGTTATTATCCCGTTAGTCACTTGGTAATTCCCTTCAAATGACAAGCCCTAATGACAAGTTTGCATCTGAGGTGTATCAAGTATCCTCTGATGTGACCACACTTGAGACATTTGCAATTCTGATTTCTCAGAAACAGTTTCTTTCAATTCAGTCAAAACCATAAGACATGATTCATGCCGGTGATTCCATGTTCTGACGTGCAGACAGAGCTGACGGAGGTGATGTTTGAGATCTCACTTGAGTGAGCTAATCCTCTTCCCTACTTCACTGAAAATATTTTCATTCTGTCTGACAAAAAGTTAAAAAAGTACATTAACTGTAACTAAAAATGTACTGCAAATGACACATTAATGAGATTAAGGTGCGTGCCTTGTTCTCTCAAGCTGTCACAGTCTTTACCTTTGATGAGACTAGACTGATGGCTTCATTACACAAAAGGGAATATTGTCTTGTGGAACTCTAGGGAGCTAGATCACAGTGAGGTTCTCAGATCATTTTAAAATGTGGCTTTTGAAACAAACAAAAGAACTGATTAGATCAGAGTAATAGCGGGAAAGACGTGAAGACAATCCGTGTGGGTACCAAGAACCTCTGACTCCTCACGAGAAAGTCAATAATCTAGACGCAATGAAGGAGATGATTTTATACAGCATTTGGTAAGGAGCAGCAGCTCTGAAAAATGACCTTCCAACACACCTGAATACCACTTAGCTCAACTGTAGTGCTTGCCTACCATGTATGGAGCTGAAGGCCACACTCAGAACTACAACCAGAACAAAGCAGAGCAGAGACAAGCTGGTTACAACTAGGCGTGGTGGTCCAGCCCTGAAACCCCAGCCCCTCGCGAAGCTCGAAAGTTTGAGGCCTGTTTGGGCAATGCAGTGAGACCTCATGTCAAAATAAAAATGAAGGTCAGCAAGACTAGTGGTTCTCAACCTTCCCAATGCTGCAACCCTTTAACACAGTTCCTCATGGTGTGGTGACCCCCGACTAGAAAATTATTTGTGTTGCTATTTCATAACTGTAACCTTGCTACTGTTATGAATTATGATATGCAACACTAGGAGTCATGACCCACAGGTTGAGAACCACTGGCCTGGGGGTTAAAGGTGCTTGCAACCAAACTTGACAACCTGGGTTCCATCCCCAGGACCCACACTGTAGAAGGGGAGAATCACCTCCTGCAGTTGCCCTCCGACCTCCATGAGTGCACCATGACACTTGCATACCCCCCACCCCACCGAACAGATGAATGAATGAACAGTTGTCATTTTTTTTTTAATGAAAAAGGGCTAAAGGGCATAGTTAGGGTGAGAGGGCACTTGCTTAACAAGCAAGAGGCCCGAGGTCAATGCCCAATGCTGTTAAAACAGACAAACAGGTCACAACTGCAATGACTTCATATTACTCATTAAAGATCATAATCTGCAATTTAAAAAAGTACCGGCAAGAGCTTGGAGAGTATCTGCATGTGTGAGGACTCGACGTCAACTCAGAATCCATGCTGAAAAGCACGTGTGTTGGCATGTGCCTGTAATCTTAGTGTTGGAGCCACAGAGACAGGCAGAGCCCCAGAGTTCACTCACCAATCAGTCCAGCCAAAGCAATGACCCAGACTCCAAGGAGGAGACTGTCTAAAAAAAAGAAAAAGTAAGTGGACAGCCATCCTGAGAAAGAACACACTGTACAGACGTGTATGTGCGCGCACAGACACACACACACACACACACACACACACACACACACACACACACACACACACTGATAGAGAGGTGCTAAGGAATGAAAAAGGAACCGTGAAAACTTATCTTCCCTTGGGTCTGGAGTGTAAGCCCTGCAATTCCATGTTTCTGGCCCAGGTCTCTGGCCTCACCTGACCTAATAACAACTGCACCAGCTCTGAGATGTTCCACACAGGCAGGCATCCTGCTCTCAGACTATAACACGTGTCCTAGATTTTGAACCCAAATACTCTCACCCACAACTCTTCCTTTCCATTTAGACCACACTGGTTTACAACATTTATTCTTTCTTGGACAACTTAAGAGTCCAAGGTCCATCATCATAACCACACCCTTAAAAAGATATGCAGTTCCCATGTCTTTTCTTCCCTTTACTGTGCCCCCCTGTAAACCCCAAATCTTGGCAAACAAGAGTCTTTATCCGCATACACGCTAGCACAGGAACACAGATGGAAGGAACTACGCACTTACGGCATCTCGAACGTCACCAGTCACTTAGCACCGTCTACCTTCTCCAGGGATCTGTTAGAAATGAAGATTCTCAGGCCTCAGCCAGGCCTGCTGAGTTAGAACCTCGGTGGGAGGGCCCACAACGTTTTAACCAGATCCATAGGTGGTTCTCCTGCAGGTTCTGAAAGCTGGTCTAGCTTCACACTTCATTGAGAAACCTCCCTCAGGTTTACAGTTCCTGTTCATATATATCTTAAGAAGAGGTACCTGGCACAGCCCCTGTGAGGGACGGGTGCTTAGTCACACCGGTAGATGGGATCGCCCTTACTTCCCTAACAGCAAATAGAAAAACCCACCTGCACGTATGCTAACTGCTTGCCAGCCCGCCCCGCCCCCTCCCTCTTTTTCCTTTTTTTTTTTTTTTTTCCATTTTTTGAGACAGGGTTTCTCTATGTAACCTTGGCTGTCCCACTCTGGAGCCCAGGCTGGCCTTGAACTCAGAGATCTGCCTGCCTCTGCCTTCCGAGTGCTGGGATTAGGGATGTGCACCACCGCCCGGTTCCTTCCTCTTTGTCCATCCTAAGCACTGCTCTTCATCCTGTCAGAGGCTGGGATTTCCAGGAATAGACTGGACTTCATCCTGGAAGTACCACTTCTGTTTCCACAGATTTACTTAATATACGCTTTTCATATGACTACATTTCTATAATATGTGGTCTGTAGTACAGCCTTCTGCTACCATATTTTTCAAGGTTCATCTACACTGTTGTGTGTATAAGTGCTTTGCTCCTTTTAATGGCTAAAAGATATTCCACTCAGAGGTTCTGGAGAGATGGCTCGGCAGCCTAAGAGCTCCTGGGTGTGATTCCCAGCTCCCATAGGGTAGCTCAAAACCATCTGCAACTCCAGTTCCAGGGGATCTGATGCTCTCTTCTGACCTCTACTTGTACCAGGCACACACATGGTACACAGATATACATGCTGGCAAAGCACCCTACTCATAAAATGAATATTAAAAAGGTATTGCTCTCTGTATCTGCTGCATTTTATTTTTGCTGTGATGCACATCCATACACAAGCCTTTGTGTGGATGTGTGCTTTCATTTCTAAGGCATATACCTAGGATAAGAATTGCTGAGCCATAATAATAACTTTATATTTGAATTTCAGGGTGCTGCCAAAGCAGCCCACTCAGCAATATACAGAGTCCCGGTGTCCGATGGCACACTAATGCTGTCACTCATCTCTTCTTTCCTATGGGAGAGAGGAAGCAGCTGGGATTGAACTCAGGGTCTGTGCTCACTAGGCAAGCGTTCTATCACTGAGCAGCCCCCATGCAATGCATTTTGAATTGGTGTTTTTATATATGAGGATCAAACTTAACTTTTTCCCCGGTACCATTTGTTCAGGTGTTTTCCCTCCCATTAAATGATCTTGGTACGCAGTCACTGAAGACTTGTTTACATGCTATTAGTTAAGTATTCCTTTTTCTTCCACAGTTGACCCCGAGCCGCCATCCCCCCTACAGTCCATCAACTCCCTTGACTCTCCTCTTAAGCTCCTCTATCTGTTCAGCCTTCTTTGGGGGTGGGGGTGGGGGTGGGTTGTTATTTGTTTTGACACAGGGTCTCACTGTGTAGCCCTGGCTGGCCTGGAACTCACTCTGTAGGTCAGGCTGGACTGACTCACAGACCGTCTGCCTCTGCCTCTGCCTCTGCCTCTGGAGTACGGGGATTATTCACTACCATGCCTGACTCGTTTTAGTCTCTAAAGGTTCCTATCTTCTAGCAAGCTTTAAAAATACTGAGTTTTCAGTTACAGTGGTTATCTAACAAATTAGGACAAAACTTAGTGGCATAATAAAGTCATTTATTATACTATAGTTTCTTTTGCTCAGGATTTCAGATCGGCACAGTGGAGTTCCCATCTCTGTTCTATGACATCTGAAGCCTCAGGCTGCAGCTCTGTGCACTTACACGTCAGGTAGCTGATGATGGCTGCTAGCTGTGGACAGGGGCCTCAGCTCATATCCGTGTGACCCTGTACATGCTGTTTCTCCAAGTGGGCTGGTTTGGGCTTCCTCACAGTATGGCTTCTGTGTTCCAAGAACAAGCAATCTAGAAGGGGAGAGAGGAAGAAAGCAAGAAGCCAGGATAGCCAAAGAGCCTACTTATGCCCTAAAAGAAAAATCGTTCCCAAGTCTTAGCACATGTAAAGGAAGAGTAACAAACTTTATGTGAAATGACAAGGTTCTAAAATAGCGTGGGGCCTGCAGCTGGGACTGCATGGCAAAGCACTTGGATAGCATGCCCGAGGCCCTGAGTTAGAGCCACGCATGCAAATACAAAATGTGGGACCAGAAACACTGCTGTGGCCTGCTACACAGAAACAGTCTGCCACAGCCTTCTGGTCACAGTTCACCGCATGCACACAGGCTACACTTCCCTCCTCCGCCCCTAGTGTCTCCCCAAAACTCATTCACAATGGCGTCAGGCTCAGGCTTGAAAGTCAAGACCTCTCTATGTGCTAGTGAGATGCCATGATACAGCTCCTCATCTACAATTGCACTTACCCTGGAAACTTTGGCACTAACAAGGCAAATACTACTGCCCCACTTTCCATAGCATATAAAACAGCTTAGAGCAGCCTTCCCGCTCCAAAGGAGAAAGCCGTTGTCTCGATTCTCCCTATGTGATTACAGCTCTAAAGAACATCTGTATGTTTGTGATTCCTGATTTCCTAACGTCTGAGCACCTCTCTGAAAATCCAGTTAATCACTGCATAGCTTTATAAACTATCTCATCACTGTTTCCAGTTTAACTCTTGTTTTCTGTATCAACTCACATCCTCAGACCTCCTGCCCTGGCTCCTGTCCTCCACGGAGCTGCTCACACAGACTCAGGGACTCCCTCTGTCCTCCAGCCACTCCCTCACCTCAGCACAACTGTCAGAAAATTCTCCAAAGTATACCCTCCTCCTGCCCCCCCTCCTCCGTCCCTCCTCTTGCTCCTCCTCCTCCTGCCCCTCCCCCTCCTCCTCTGTCCCTCCTGCCCATCCTCCTCCTGCCCCTCCTCCCCCTCCTCTGTCCCTCCTGCCCCTCCTTCTCCTCTGTCCCTCCTCCCCCCTCCTCCTGTTCTTCTTCCTCTTCCTCTGTCCCTCCTCCTGCTCTTCCTCCTCCTCCTCCCCCACTTCTCATGCTTACTCCTGGTCCCCCACTTCCTCCTCCTCCTCCTCCCACGGATTTTCACAATGTACGTACCATCTTTCATTCTCGCTACATTCTGATTGCCTTTGGCACAGCAAATCAAGGGAGTGTTTTAGTTCATATCTCACGGTGGTACTTCCCTGCTCAAAATTTTCTGTGACTTCTCCCACGCTCTTATAGCCTGTGCACATGCTAGTCTGAAGTATCTCATCCCGCCTTTCCACTGACTCATAACTCAGTCTTTGGCATGACTGGCCACCCAGTCTAGGGAGGTACCACTATAGACAGGGTCACCTCACTGTTCCTTTCACAAACCTTATCTCTTTCCAGTTGAATCCTTCCAGTTGACTTGCTTACTACCTGTCTACCTAGCCAGATGGTGACTTCTACTGGTCAGGGACTAGCCTGTGATGTCCATCACTATCCATCCAGTGCCTAGGAGGGAGTCTGTCAGATAACATGCACGCAGTCATTTACTGGATGTGACGGGACGATTCTGGGGTAAATCACTGTGGCATGTGTGGTGGCATGTTAAAGCATCCCTTCCGAGTTCTTACTGAGGGTAGCCTTGTGTTCTCTTTCAGTAACTGCCCTTCCTTTCTGGCTGCTGCCTTAGCCAGGGCCACCTCAGATGAAGTCCTCCAGAGTGACCTTTCTGCTCACTATATCCCAAAGGAGACAGATGGCACAGAAGGGACTGTGGGTAAGCACCTTTCTCCATTATTTGTTTAAACTCACTACAAGTCTTGTGGGCAGTGCTCTGCAGGAAATATCTTGGCTCAGTAGCAGGGACCTGTAGCCCAGGTACTTAGGAGGCCCGGTGCGAAGGTCACTTGAGTTTACGTGTTCTAGACCGGCTCAGTCAAGGACCTTGTCTCAATTTAAAAAAAAAAAGTTTGATGCACAATAAAGTAAGAGGATGAGAAAACCAGTTTGAGGAAAAGCTGTTTAAAATGTCTTGTTTATCCAGGGCTGCATCACCCCAAATGCACCTATCTATTCTAAGAGGTTTAACTTATCTTGAATACAGGTAAAAGCATACAAAAGTTTTAAATAGTTATAACAAAACTCATCAATCTTGTGAAGCTTTGGAGCTACTAAAACATGGAGCTCTGACAGATGCATAATGTTATTTGTTTGCATTGACCATTGTGTATTTTTGCTGATAGCTCAACATTCACACCCACACTCACCCCTGGCACCAGCAGAATTGAGCCCAAGGCCTTGGACACGATGCTCTACTTCTGAGGCACACACACACCCCCACACCCACACCCATGCTCACGCACACACACACGTGCACACACACATACATTTACACAAAACATATATATGCACACACACACAAATGCGCACACACGCACGCAGTTTTGAAAGGGTCTTGCTGAACTGCCCAGGCTATTCTCCAACCTCAGCACCCCAAGCAGCTGGGTTACAGGCATGTGCCGCCACGTCGGCCAGCTCCAGTTAATGGATTGGGCTTACACACACTTGAAAGCAGTTAAAAAACTATTTTTATAAAATCAGAGCATGACTACCCCACCATGCACTTCTGGTTTTGGTGCAGGGGATGTAACCTGAGGTATCTTAAATGGTTAAGTATGTTTTCTACCAACTATGTAACATCCCTAGCTCACTACTCCAAAATATTAAGGGTAATATTTTATTGGCATTTATTAGCTTTGAGATAAGGTCTCAACTGTGTACCTTAGTCTGGCCTTCAACTCACGACCCTGCTTCAGTCTCCTGCCGTAGTCTCCTGAGTGCTGGGATCACAGCGTGTGTTACCGTGCCCAGCCCATCTGTTCTACTCAAAGCGTTTGCCCATCAACATGGTACACAGGGAACAAAGCGTCTGTTATAAATAGAAAGGCAGTCCAGAGACTGTGCGGCATCCCCTCTTCCTGTCTCTCTAGACCGTGACAGAAACTGTCAAGGAGGAACTGCGCCTTGCTTTTTTTTTTTTTTTTAACTGAGAATAACTGATTCACCTGGAACCAAGCTGTCCCGGAGCCACACTGAATAGAATCCCTTCTACAAAGCACAGTCTTTCCTCTGATGCTGATGCACGAAGTGAAACCCTTGTAATGAAGGGATGAGAGATGCAGTTCTGCCTCAGTGCAGCGGGGTGACGGCTGACTCAGCTCCAGCTCGGCACAGTGACATTAACGACTGACGAGTCATTTACAGCTGTGAGGGGGTGGACTGCTACTTGGATGGTTTTCACTTTTTCACGCCCCTTATTTTGTTTTATTTTTCCATCTCAAGTGGCTATTATTAATATCTGAATGTTCTGTAGCACTCCCTCTGGAGACTGTCTCAGGACTACAGTGCTGCTCTCCATGCTGGCTCTGGAGAACTGTCTGAGCCCCACAGGTGACAAAAGTACCATGGAAGGATTTTTCTTTAAATGATGTCACTGGCCACACTGTTTGAATTGTTTTCTAGGTGATCACTTAGAAATGTCTCCATGCGGCCGGGCGGTGGTGGCGCACGCCTTTAATCCCAGCACTCGGGAGGCAGAGCCAGGCAGATCTCTGTGAGTTCGAGGCCAGCTTTGTCTACAGAGAAATGTCTCCATGCTGTTGAGATTCTCAACTATCAGCAAATCCTTATCCATTTAGCACAAATCACTATGTGTGAAATGCATAAGGGTCTAAAGCAGTGGTTCTCAACCTTCCTAATGCTGTGGCCCTTTAGTACAGTTCCTCATTTTGGGGTGACCCCCAACCATAAAATTATTTCATTACTACTTCATGACCGTAACTCTGCTACCGTTATGAACCGTAGGAATCTGTTTTCCAGTGGTCTCAGGTGACCCCGTGAAAGGGTCGTTCAACCCCTTGAGAACTCTGCTGGGATACTGTTGGCCCACACATGACAGTGGGGAGAAGCATACTGGGTAGAGCCTAGAGCATGCACAGTGAGGTCCCACTGAAGGGCCTTTTAAAACCTCTTCTGGGTTGTTTCAAAAAATCTTTTTTTTTTAAGAAAATTTGTATTCATTTTAATACCAATCACAGATCCCCCTCTTCCCTCCTCCCGGCCCTCCACCCCCCCAACCCACCCCCTATTCCCTCCTACAAGAAGGTGAGGCCTCCCATGGGGAGTCAGCAGAGCCTGGTACTTTTAGTAGAGGCAGGTCCAAGCCCCTGCCCCAAGGCTGTGCGAGGTATCCCACCATATGCAGTTGGCTCCAAAAAGCCAGCTCATGCACCAGAGATGGATGCTGATCCTACTGCCAGGGAGCCCCTTGAGAGGATCAAGCAACACAACTGTCTCCATTACGCAGAGGGCCTAGTCCAGTCCCATGGAGGCTCCACAGCTGTTGGTCTTAAGTTCATGAGTTTGAGGGGAGGGATTTGATGCACATATCCCATTAAGGGCTTAGTGTTCCAAGTTTTCTTTCTCTGCATGATGTCTAGTTGTGGGTCTCTTTTTTGTTCCCATCTACGGCAGGAGGATGCTTCTCTGATGATGATGAACAAGGCACTAATCATGCAAAGGGCCTAGTCCAGTCCCACGTAGGCTCCACAGCCATTGATCCAACTTTCATGAGTTCCCTCCAGTTTGGTTTGGTTGTCCCTGCATGTTTCCCCATCATAATCCTGATGCACTTGACCATAGAATCCCTCCTCTCTCTCTTTGACTGGACTCCTGGAGCTCTGTCTAGTGACTGGCTGTGGATCTCTGCATCTGCTTCCATCAGTCATTGGAGAAAAGTTCTGTGATGACAGGGTATTCACGGTCTGATCTCTGGGGCTAGCCAGCTCAGTTCAGGTACCCTCTCCACTATTGCTAGTAGCCCAGGCTGGGGACATCCTTGGGGATTCCTGGCAACTTCCCTAGTACCGGGTTTTTCTCTATCCCCATGAGGTCTCTCTCTATCATGGTATCTCTTTCACTACAAAA